TTTTAAGAATTATATTGCTCAAGATAAAATCTCTATATGATAATAAAATAAAGTTTATTGTAAACTCTATTGTATTGAAATAATATCTAGACTTGTATATATAAATTCTATTTTTTATTTATGAAAATTGTTAAGATATTTTTGTTAAGAATTATATTGCTCAAGATAAAATCTCTATATCGTAATAAAAATAAAATTTATTGTAAACTCTAGTATACTGGAATAATATATGTAATACCAATAAAAGAGAAGTAGATATAAAAGTACTGTGGTTGTAAATAAAACAGAGGCTAGGGACGGGTGAATCAGACGAAGTTACGCGGGGAATCGGAGTCGAGTCTAAAAATATAAATGGTCTTGTAAGTACCCTGGACACCGTTGAACTATCCCAGCTATAGACTGCCCCACGTAAAGGGGTTCATTACAAACGTATAGAGCTTTTTGCACTACAAAACAAGAGAACTCAGATAAAGGTCTTAGATCTATTGTAAAGATTATCTGTAATCAACTGCTATTCGATTTAATGAATATGGAGAAAATGTCGTAATAGCTGCAATATATTGTTCACCCAACCACAATATAGAAGTCCAAGACTTCCAAAACTTTTTTAAAACACTCGTTTCTAAATTTCTAGTTGCAGGCGATTTTAATGCCAAGCACACATTCTGGGGTTCAAGACTAATAACACCAAGAGGACGAAAACTTTTAGCAGTTGAGAAAAGTGAAGATCTCGATGTCATTTTAACTGGACAGCCAACTTACTGGCTTTCTGATCGACAAAAATTCCCAGATCTTATTGACTTTGGTCTAAGCAAAAATATTAAACTATTAACAATCACCGCATTCCCATCAGTTGAATTATCATCAGACCACTCACCAACAATAATAACAGTACAATGTCAACACAATTGACATATAATACACATATAATACAGATAGACGTTTAACTTGGAACAAACACATAGAGGCTAAAAAGACACAAATAAATATAAAAGACTGCAATCTAAAACCCTAAGAATGATAACAGCTGCACAGTGGTTTATGAAAAATGCTGACTTTAACTTTCTAAATTTTTATTTGATTTAAAATATAAATTTTATTTAACTGAATTGAATGTGATTTTTTGAATTGATTTTAATTTTAGTTTTTTTTTTAATTTTAATTCTAATTTCAATTTTAATTTTAATTTTCAATCTTATCTTATTATCTTATTATAACTCAATGTCTCAATAGCAATGGCTTAGGGGGAAAAAAAGGTCCATTTAATATACGAATTGGCTCCACAACTACGAACAGTAAGAAAGAATTACGTCGTTATCTTTGGGATCAAGGCGTGTTTGTAGTAGTCCGGCACGAGAATATATATATATAAATTAATGAGATTAATAGTCCAGTTAAGTTTCAAAAAATATTTATTAAATGAATAGCATTTACATGTGACTACGTTCTAAAAGATCATAACTTAATATCACGCTTATTCTCTATTATTTTCTCTTACAAATGATTATGTGTTTTACATTTAACCCTACAAAGTGAGAGCGTGCGATAACATGTATATATATATATATATATATATATATATTATTCGTGTGTAAATTGAGATTGAATTAGTGAAATTTTTGTTTCAAAATTCTTGAGTTTTAGTTGGTATGTACCAGAAATTTTGTTTCGGATATACATATTTTATGTAGGTGTTTACTAAATGCGGTGTGGCCTGTTAGTGCACTACAATACCATTGATCAAGGGGCATGTTATGATTACAATCACATCACGGATATTGTTGTTGCATTCAATGCAAAATGAAATTAACTGCAAGTGTTAAATTTTCATTGAAAGTAATAACAATTGCCATTAAGTGACTGCAAGCATAACATTCCCTGCGGATAAATTGCAATCTGTACATATGTATATATGTACATGTATACAAATTATTTATTCAAAATATGATAAACAATTTTGAATATATATGATAAAATAAAAAAAAGATGCGTATAGCTAGAGAATATGGTTTATA